TTTTGTCCCCCTGGGTAGTTTTTGTTTTTTTTTTTTTTTTAACTTTTTATTTATTGCAGTAACATTGGTTTATAACATTGTATAAATTTCAGGTGTACATCATTATACTTCTATTTCTGCATAGATTACATCATGTTCACCACCCAAATACCAATCACAACCCATCACCACACACATGTGCCCAATTATCCCTTTCGCCCTCCCTGCTCCCCCCTTCCCCTCTGGTAACCACCAATCCAATCTCTGTCTCTATGTGTTTGTTTATTGTTGTTATTATCTACTACTTAATGAAGGAAATCATATGGTATTTGACCTTCTCCCTCAGACTTATTTCGCTTTGCATAATACCCGAAATGTCCATCCATGTTGTCACAAATGGCTGGATTTCATCGTTTCTTATGGCTGAGTAGTATTCCATTGTGTATATATACCACATCTTCTTTATCCATTCGTCCCTTGATGGGCACTTAGGTTGCATCCCCCCTGGGTAGTTTTGAAGACATATTTAATTTTTAGATAAAGCACTTACCTAAAAGGTACCTAAAAGGTTTTATGCTTTAGCTGTTTGCCTTGAACAATGGACTCTGTAAAAAGTTGCAAGGGGGAGAGAGACATATTTCAGGCGGTTTATCCCACCAACACTCCCAGCATAGATGGTGGCTTTAATTTTGATTTCCTGGGTGCATCTCTGGAAGGTTGTCTATGTCCCTCCCCCAAGAAAGGTACTTTTCACATCTGAATTTTCTTAGGCTGGTGCAGTGTTTAAGACAATGCTTAAAAAACTCTTGAACGACATAGGAGCTGTTCGTAGAGAAGGGGGAAGTCTCAGGGACATTCCCTATTGGGTTGTTCTGTGGTTCATTTATATCAGCTCCTGCAAGGCCCTCACCCTGATTCTGGAAGGGCCTTGGTCATCTCCACCTATTCTTGTTTAACTCTCAATTCTTTCGTGACAGTCTGATTTATTAGCATAATATAAAGTGACGGTTTTTCTAAAAAGAGATAATAAAATAATCACATTTTTAAGAAGAGTGTGTTCCTGAGGAAGGGTGGCCACAAAACATCCACACACTCTTGCCCCGTGGTAAACATCCTTGCCTTTGCAATGAGGGGTGCAGTCTGTGGCTGCACGTCCCCCTGTGAATTTAATTAGAAGAGACTGGAGGGGTGGCGAACCTCATCTTCGTTGTGTGCTCACCGTTCGTGTTCGTCGGACGGTATTTTTCAAAGCTTCTTTGTATTGTGTGTGTAGCTATGTACCAGGCCCTGTGCTGAGTACTTTACAGGCATGATCTCTTTTAATTTTCACAACGACCCCTTGAGGTTGACACAGTTCTCATCTGGAGTTTGCAGGGACAGAAACGAAGGCCCGAGAGAGGTTGCACAGCTGGACTGGTGAAGTAGAATTTAAATCCGGGTCTTCCTTGAATTCAGTCTTCACTCTTGGTCACTGCGTGCATGCCACTGGGCCTTAAAACCGTTTTTAAGGCATTGTTATAATAAAGTATTGGACTGGATGGTTTCTGAAGGCCCATCCAGCTCTGTTCTGTGATGCTGAATGGACTGCATTTAAAGAGAACAGCCATTTACTGAAATGAATCGGTGAGATTGGCTCTATCCTCTTCTTTTATTGCTTGCCCTCGCAGTTTGATGGTTCTTACACAGTTTGTAAGATTGTGCTCACCACTCCCACAGGCTGGGCATTGCCTGGGGACACAAAGTTCTGGAAGACACAGTCTTTGTCCTTAAGAAACTTAAAACTACAGTGCGACCCCAGCAATGGGCATGATGTGATTTAGAAAGAAAGGACTGTGGGGTTCTGAGGCTGGAGAGACGGGGGGCATTTTCAAGAGCATCCTCCCATCACAAAAGCATTCCAGGTACAGGCAGGTCGAATGGGAGTGGCAATTAGACCTTGGCTTCTGCAGGTATAACTGCATTCTCCCTGCTTGCTTGGGAACCAGTCAACCTGGAGAGATGCGGTTGTATTGTTTCCTAGGGACCTGCCTGGCATGCAGTCACCATCAAAGAAGAGAACTATACCCCATAGGGCTCCCCGCCCCCCAAAGCCAGGCAGCAGCAGCTTTAAACCCACCCCTCCATGCTATAGAGTTTTGACTGAACAGGAAAAAACCAGTTGAATAGGCCCAGGTGTGCAAAATAATACGAGGGCGATGGCAGCCAGAACAGGTGTCCAACTTTTGTCGGAATCACCTTCATATATGTATCCAAGAGGAAGAGGGAGAATTAATTTTTAAATCCTATACCCAGTGAACACCCACTGTTCCCCAGGTTCTGTCTTCTTTCTTTGCTGGATGAGTAGAGAAAGAGAGTTTCCCCAGAATTTACTGTTAGTTCTGCTTGGAAGACAGCTGTGGAGTTTGTGCTTCTGAACTGCAGGCAGAACTGTGCCATCGGCAGATCCTCCCTAACAATAATAATAAACCACAATTCCTGTGCTTACCACGTGGTAGGTTTTGTGCTAAGCCCTTGGGGTCTTTTAAGAGCTAGGATGTGATTCATGATTAGAACTCAAGTCTCCTAACCTTTGTGCTTGTCTGTGCCCGTGTGGTTCTCTGGTCTAGGGGTCATGGCTGGATAGAAGAGCCCCTCATGGCACTTGATAGGCAGACCCAAGAGGCCTGGGTCCTGAGCCCAGACCTACTGAATTAGGTCCCTACTCAGAGATTTCCTAGGATTAGGGGACCGAGTTTGTGATAAGCATCCTGAGAGACGATTGCCTCAGCCAGGGTTGAGAATGGCAGGTTTCACTGCCCACTACCAGTCCTCCTACTCCCATCATGGATTTGTACACTTGCTTCCTTCCATTGCTTATGGTGGTCCCATTCTCCGGAAGTCCTTCAACCTCCAAGTGACAGTCTTCCCTCCTCTGGGCTATCAGTGGTTCTTCCCACTCATCCCTCCCACAGTTTTTCCGCAGTTATTTTAAACTGTCTCTGACTGGTCTGCTTTCTTTCATTTCAGCAAGTGTGTATCTTTCCAACCAGATAGAAAGGTTCTGGAAGGCAGCAGCAATCATTTTCCTTTCCTCCTAATGGTCTCCACTGCATCTGATGATGTCTGTCCCTTTCTCTCCCTCCCTGTCCCTCTCTCTTTTCCCTCTCCACCCCAGCACACAGCGGGAACTTATTTGTTGGTAATCTTTCAAGTTGTCCCAAACAGAAATTTTCCCCTGAAAGAACCCTCAGTGCGTGTCCATGAGACGCCAGCACTGGTCTTGGGGCGGCAGCCCTTCCCGCTGCCGGCTTTGGCCTCGTCCAGACCTTCACAGCTGCTAAGGAAGTGTTACTGGAGTCCAGAGCTCCCTCTGCTTTGGTGCTTTTAATTTCATGCTTTGCTTGCAAAATAACTCACAACACATAAGGCTCAGAGCAACTAGCTAGCCTCTTTCTCCAAAAGTGTCCCTTTGTTTATAGGAATCGTTAAATCAGGCTGTTGGAAGTGTTGACTTCCTTCTCTGTAGATTTTTCTGGGGTATCTAGGAAGGCCATATTTTTCTTTCCAAGCATACTCATGAAGAAGTTAGAAGCATCTTTTAAAGATGCGTTCCCCACAATGAACTGTGGTAAGAAATACTCTTTCCATATTATATCCTTTCCTTACCCATTTAAAAAAAAAAAAAGAAAGGACAAGAAGAAAAACATAGAGAACTAACTGCTGGTGGTCCCTGAACTCCAGAGGCGCTAGTGGGCAGCACTGGAACCTCACTTCTTTTCTTTGAATGCATTTCCTTTTCCTTGATGTTAATGCAACTTGTGCCTCTCTAAAAGTAATAAAAGGAAATGAAGACACGTTCCAAAATGAAACTTGACTCTAATCCATTCATCATCTAATACTAGCCTCTTTATCTTCGCTGGTACCTAATCTGGTTAAATGTCCCTGTTGTAGGATTTTAGTGAAAATCCTCTATTGGGAATAGGGTTTTTTGCAATTGGATTACTCTCAGTAAATGGCCCAGTAGTTCGCTTGTTTCAGCTTAATTTTTTCTTTGTGATCTTGCTGGGCTAAGTTATAGCACAGCCCAGTGGAGGGGGGCTGGGGTGGGCTGAGAGTCGGGTGGGGGAAGGAGAGGAGAATAACTGGGGAAGGTCTGGTCATGGCTACTAGAAAAATCTGAAAAATGATGTTCTTTTTTGCCCTGGTTCTCTCTGCCTATCCACCCTTCCCAAACATAAAAACGGCTGTACTTTGTTTTCTAGAACGGCCGATTTCTAAAATGCTTACCTTTTATTAGCCCAATTCATCATCATCCCGTTAATTTATTAGCATTCCCCGATGACTTCTTAATGAAATTCCTAATGAATCAGGGCTGCTGTAATCTGCATAAAATATGCAGGTGCTTGCCTGGCAGTTTAGAGCTTTCTGGTAAAGTTCACACTCTCAACCAGACCAGGAGTGGGGCTTTTCATCCATGCTGTCTGTAAAGGATTGTAGCATGCCCGCTGGTTCTAAGGGGCAGGGAGGGGCTAGGAGCCTGGGGTGGTGGAAAAGGAGGTTGGGGGGATGGGAATTGGGCCCTGCTGGGTTTCTTGTAAGTGAAGGTTTTCCTAGCCGGTGCCCCATGAAGCCTGCCTGCCTCCTGAAGGTCCCTCTGGTGGGGCCCTGGGGTAGGAGATCCCCCCTACGTGCAGGAACACAGTAGGCCTGTGAGATTAAAGTCCCCACTTCCGATTTACCTGCTGATGGGAAAAGTGCAAACTCTTGGGCTCCATGATGGGGTGGCGGTGGAGAAGGTATTTTAAAAGCCAGGCTCAGTGGGGAGGTTAAAACAGAAGCCTAGCTACCCTAGAGCTGTCTCCCAACTATCTGTTATTTTTAATACATGGATTGGGGCCAAGGCTTTGGGCAGAATTGAGTGCATCTTACAAAATCAAGGTGGAAGGGCATGGTCGGGGGAACCCAAGGGCCCATGCTCAGAGGTTTTGGGCTGCGGGGAACCAGCTTGATGGTGTGTTTCTCTGTTCTTTTGCTCCCTACAGTCGAACAAAGTGCCGGTTGTGCAGCACCCTCACCATGTCCACCCTCTTACGCCTCTTATCACGTACAGCAATGAACACTTCACCCCGGGAAACCCACCTCCACACTTACCAGCTGATGTAGACCCCAAAACAGGTAGGCTGTGTGCTTGGGTGCTAAGAGAGTGTGATGGTCCCAGGGCCACCGGAGGACCTGCTGGGGCGGGTGGGGGAGTTTGGGAGTGACTCAGGCTCCTGTTCCTCTCCTGGGTGTTGAAAAGGAAGCTCTGTGGGGAGGCCAGCAGCTGGTGAGAGAGTGGATTCCTTTCCTCTCTGGAGATGTCCATTTGTCGTGCTAAAGATCTTTATAGAGCTCCACCACCCTTTGAGGGGCTGTGTTGGGAACCTGTCTATGACACATCCAGTGTTTTTCAGGAGTAGCATATAACACCAAGAGCCTCAAACAGACATGGAGGCAGTAATCGTTTTGGAGACGTCTCATGGGCGCCTTCTCAGCTCGTTGGGAGTACAAGAGCCCTAACAGCACAGCTCCCCAGAGCCCCAGCTCCCTTGGTGACTAAGAGATTCCCGTCACTCGACAGTGGCTTATTGGTGCAGCCTCAAGAGACCACATCCCTGGGCTCTGCATTCTCTTCGCTCATTTATTTGGGTTCTGCTTCCCCTACAATATCCTGGGTACTAGTAAGCCCATTTTACAGATGTGAAACCGAAGCCCAAGAAGGTTTCCTTGTTGCATCATAGAACAACCAGTAGGGTCTCAGGCAGAAGTTGCCATCTTATCCTTTAGCCTTTACACCTGTTTCCTCTTTTCCATCCCACACGCTCATTGACTGCTTTTTCCCCAAAGGGGAGAGAGAGAGAAGGTGGGGTTACTTATAGACCTCCCTACAATAAGATTTAAAAGAAGCAGACAGCCACAGCTCATGGTGGGGTGGTCTTGGGAGAACAGCTAAGGCCAGGCTGTGTCTTTCAGGCCGGGCGGTGCCCTGGCTGGGTTTCTCTTCCCAGCTAGTTAATTAGAAGCGTGGATTTAAAATGGCTATTCCGTGTCTCTTTGTCAGAGGCCCTTGTTTGGTGTTGGGCTGAGGTAGGCCGCCTGTTCATGCGGCCTTTGCTGCCCCTGAATGAAGCCACACATTAGCTGGTTTTCAGCAGCCTCTGAGCCCCCTTTGTGCTTGTGGGGATCGAGCCTGGCGCTTAGATGGCTGGAGGAGGCCACCAGCCGGCCCCAGCCTCCGCGAGTGAATGGCAGCATCAACGTCTGATTTAAATAATGGTAGTACGGGGAATAGCTTTTAAATGGTTATCGTAAAACATATGATTAACGTCTGCAGACTGTTTACTTTTCCTCCGCGAACATTCTTTCAAGTGTGCGAATGGCTTGGTGTAGGGTCCAAGCCCAGCTAATCTGTTGGGTTTTTGTAATAGAGAGAAAGCAATGTCTGCATGAAAATGTCACCCAGGGAGACTTAATTTACAGATTAAAAGCTTCCTGAATGAATTTTAAAAAATGAGATAGTTTTCATCCACAAACACGCAGCTAGTTCTCTTCAATCCTGTTGTAATTCTGCGGTATTGTTCGTTTTGCTTTCCACTTCAGCTGCGTAGGTCGGTTCCTCTCTGTCAGAATTGCTCCCAGCGCTCTTGCTTTCTAAGAATGGATTGCAGGATGTGCTCTTATGGAATGAGTAAGTGTGCGGTGGCAAGGACCTTCAGAATTCACTCATGTGTGCCTTGCGAAGGTTCTTACCCCCGTGATACAGCACTACCCAGTCAGCAGGTGGGGTTCATTCACACAGGTTACTCTGTCTTCTAGAAAATTAGGTTCTGGAATTGAGAATACCAGGCCTCCAACACCTCCTTGTCTATTCAGTTCAGATTCTACCTTGGGTAAGATGCCATGGCATTGGGTGAGTTTCTCCTCCAGCTCATCTTCTAAGTTGAGGTGGAGACATTCTAGAGGCATTCACCTTTTTGAAAGAAGGCAAGGGTAGACTTTCCAAAAGTCATAACTCAAAAAGTGTGGTAGAAACCAGAGGAGTAACTCTCATGTAGGTAGGTCACTAGAATTAAAAGAAGAGGAGAGACATGTTGTGAGGGTAAAGGGAATTAATATTACTTGATCACCTACTATGTGCGAAGCCCTTTAGATTTTCTTTTTTAATTCAAATAATCACACCAATCGCAGGAGGTGGGAATACCCAAGATGGCATTTTCTGAGTCTGTCTGTGTTTACCTAGTGTACCGATCCCTCGAGAATGAGATAAACCCGTTTTTCAAACTGAGGCAGAGGGATAATGAGACGAAACTTAACGACAACTGTTACGATCATAATCATGAAAAGAACCTCATGCTTGGATTATAGAAGAGCCACCCCCCTTCGTCCTTTCCCTATTCTCATCTCCCGACTCCCATCTCTTCTCTTTCCTTCTCTCCCTCCATTGTACCTAAAATGCTGCTTCTTCTCTCAGGAATCCCACGGCCTCCACACCCTCCAGACATATCTCCATACTACCCACTCTCGCCCGGCACCGTAGGACAAATCCCCCATCCGCTAGGATGGTTAGTACCACAGTAAGGAGTTCCATTTTTTAATTTCCTTTTTGTTTCTTACATGGGCATGCTTATTATTTATTCTGTGCATGTGTGTGTGTGTTTTAGAAGACAGGGCTGGTGAGGGTGATCAGTGGGGGTGTGGGGAAGATGCTTGCTGAGATGCCCTATGGGAAAGCAGGCAAGTCAATAGCCATTCAGATGGATTATATAGGAAGAGGGTTATTGATGCTTAGCATTCTGAACCCATGGTCCCCAAAGTCTCTGAGAACAAAGGTGCCCTTCAGGTACTTTGGGAATTGCAGAAGGCTCTGAGGGCTTCTATCCCCTAAAGCTGATCATGGCTCTTTTGCTGGTGGCAGCCCAAACTGGAGCCCTGTCATTGGGTTGAGGCCACAAGGGAGTGGGACCAGGCACAGCCTAGTTTTGAAATCCAGGGGTGGGGGTTGGGGGGTTCTTCTCTAACAACCCTACAACCCCCAACCCCATCCCAACCATCACTCCCAAGGTTGACAACAACAGTGGAAAGTTTTTGTCTGTTGAGAAGCTCCGTGTTATTAACCAGCATCTCTCTGAGATTCTGTATGTTCAGTGCTTTACCTGATTATGAGGGGCGGGGGCGGGGCAGCTGGAGCCCTCACTCCAGCATGTGGGGCCTCCCTGAGTGCCCGCCCCGGTTCCTGGCAGTGCCCAGGTCACCACACTGCCTTTTATGATTTGTTTGCCTGTCACCCCATCTTTCTTTTATAGTACTACCCATTAACTTTCCTTGGACAGTTTTTAAAAATGTTTTAAAATCGGAGTAGAAAGTAATATGCATAAGCATACCGTGTTTGTGTGTGTGTGCATGCATATACTGTGTGTTTTGCGCTTGTGTGTTTTTGTGTATATATTTCTTCATGTCTGTCAGTGATCTCTACTGTTTAAAAAACACAGGACAATTTGTTGAATCTTAACAGGAATAAATCCTGGTAAACCTCTCAAGTCTGGGTCTTGGGGAAGAAACCCTTTCAGAGCCTTGAAGAAGACACAATTTTGGATCTGGTGGTTCACCCCCCCCAGTTCTACCCTTATTTCTCTAGTTGAATAGATTCTACACTGTTTTTGAAAAACAGCCTAGGGGCTGGCCTGGTGGTGTAGTGGTTAAGTTCGGTGCACTCCGCTTTGGCGGCCTGGGTTTGTGGGTTCGAATCCTAGGCGCAGACCTACAGCACTCATCAAGCCGTGCTGTGGTGGTGACCCACATACAAAGTAGAGGAAGATTGGCACAGATGTTAGTTTAGGGCCAACCTTCCTCAGCAAACAAAACAAAACAAAACACAAACCAAAAAAACCAGCCTGTTTTATGTAGTAGCTATACCAAATACCAACCCTTGGTGTAGTTTCTCTTTACTTTTTCCTCCTCAGTTTTGTTTGGGAGGATAGACATGGCCATGAGCTCATGTCCCATTTCTTCTTCAGTAGATGGGGCCATTCCTCAATAGTTCTGTCATCATTTGCCCCATCAGCTGATGGGGAGAGAGTTGAAGTCTAGATAAAAAGGAATAGCCAACTCAGACAACCTCTGTCAGAAAAAGTTGTGTGTCTTTCATGAGGATGCTATTTTGCATGTTGCTGTATTTTTTAATTATTGTAATGAGGTGTGATTGTCTATTGGTTACCCACAATTCTTCTTGGGGACTCTCCCCCCCTGGTAACTCTTGTCAACACTTGTTAATTTGACAAAAGGCTACAAATTAAGCTCTGTTAATTTAATGTTTTCTCACCGAGATCTAAATACCGAAAGAGGCCCAAAGCGCAACTGAAGTCCTTTGATTCACTGCACTTTATTTTGGTATAAATTTACATTCATTATTGTTTTCCTTTGGAAGTGTAGCCCTCAATTAGTATGATGGCTCCATTAAAGCAAGCGAGACTTCGCCTTTAATTATTACAACAAAACACCTAGTTTCAGCTTGGGGAGAGGGTCTCTATTGACATAAGCAGGGGTTATAAAATTTAATTAGCCATTCCTATCAGATTTATGGCATTCAAATTGTTCTGTGTTTCTTCCCTTTGATCCTTCCTGTACAATCCCCAAGATTTTTGTTCTGATCAAATGAGAATAAGGCTTACTGTGCAGAGAGAACTTTTCCTTTTTCTTCTTTTGCTTTTCCCCACCCCTGCCCTAGTTTGCACTGTCTCACTTTATGCCCCCCTCTTTGTAGGCAAGGTCAGCCAGTGTACCCAATCACGACAGGAGGATTCCGTCACCCCTACCCCACGGCTCTGACCGTCAACGCTTCCATGTCCAGGTGAGTTCCAAGAGCGGGGGACCTCCACTAAAGCCCTGGGCGACTTCTCAGAAAGTTCTCTAGATTGCTACCAGGCCAGCCAGGGACTGCTGTTCTATGTAGTTCTAATGCTGTAAGACCCATAGAGCATTAGGCTTTACTCTTAGAAAATACTGAAAAATTGCCCTGAACTTTTCAGGTAGGTGATATTGAAATTTTGAGGTCAAATTGAACAATACTTTTTTTAAGGATTTAAGAAGGCGGGAAGAAGTAGTTAGGACTTGTGGAGCTGTTTCAAGTGTTGTTTCTCTGTTGCCCTACACTGGGTAAGAAAGAAAAGGGTGGGAGTAATTTTATTATTACATAAAGAAGAGTTTGGGGCTGGCCCAGTGGCGTAGTGGTTGAGTTCCCGCTCTCCGCTTCAGCAGCCTGGGGTTCGTGGGTTTGGATCCTGGGCTCGAACCTACACAGCGCTCATCAAGCCATGCTGTGGTGGTGTCCCGCATGCAAAATGGAGGAAGATTGGCACAGATGTTAGCTCAGGGCCAATCTTCCTTAAGCAAAAAGAGGAAGATTGGTAACAAGATGTTAGCTCAGGGCCAATTTTCCTCAAAATAAATAAATAAATAAATAAGTAAATAAATAAATAAAAATTAAAAACAAAAAAGAGTTTGAGGAAAGGTTGTTGATCTTTTCAAAGCTGAGACACTTCAGCGTCAACTAGAAAGGAACTCTCCTTCCCCTGCCCCAACATACCCTCCCTAAAGTAGCACTGTCCAGTAGCAACAGAAGGTAAGCCACATATGGAATTTTAAGTTTTCAAGTACCCAATAGCTGTATGTGGCTGGTCATTGCTACATTACCGTGCAGCTCTAAATCTTGGAAAGTTAAAAAAAAAAAAATTATGTGCTTGTATACATTCATATATCTTTAAGCTTACTATAAGTATATATAGAACACACACATATACCCACACTTGTGTACCTAGATATTTCTAATCCCCATCTTCTCCTTTTCCTCCCTCTAATTAATTCTGGCTAATTTTTCGGTGACTGCTAGTCTATTTGCAAACTGGTTGGCAGCAGTACGTTTAAGTAGTCACTAATTGCTCCTAATGATAGTTTTATTTTCTGTTCATCTGATTTTCAGTCAAGTTAATTAAATCGGTGGAGGTTTAGACTTTCCTGATGGGCTGCAACAACGAATCCATTTGGATGATGGCACATAATTAAATTAGCAGGCATTACATGGGAAGGATGCTGTCCCCTGGCCTCTTCCCCCAATCTTTAGCCAACATGGGAACCCAAGACCAGAGGAAAGGTTGGAAAGACAGGCCACAATGCCTCTTTTCCGCCTTACAAAACAGTCTGGTTTTGGTGGGGGAAAGAGTAAGAGTCACATTCATTAAGAAAAACAAGCTGTAGCCTATCTGACATTTGTAATTACACCATGGGTGTCATGTAATGTTAAAGATCCATTTCCCATGTGTGATAAATTGTCTCAGTTTCAAAATCCACACCAGTATTGGTTAGGAGGGAAAACGCCTGTGTTCTGTTCTCCAGCCAGAAGAGGAAGGTTATATTCGTTAAATATAATGTCATTACAACCTCGCAAAGCGCGGGAACGAATAGGGAGTCTCCCAGGAGGAAAGCTGCTTCTGAGCAGCTTATAATTCACAGCTCGTCCTCCCTCCATCCCAGCATGTATATAATGCACCTCATTGCTTTGCTTGCTTGTTTATTTGGTGCATCGCAGAGGTTAAAAGCGGTGACGTAATCGTAGGATAGGGCTTGGGGTTAAGCTTATTGATTGAATTATCATTAGGAGGTTAGTGGATGATTTGTAGGTGGGCAGGGGGGTGGAGAAAGGAAGGGAACAGTGGGAGGAAAGGTTAGGGGCTCGAGGTGCAGGGGGGAGGCAGCCGATTCCCCAGGTAGGCCTTATGAAAGGTAGCTAGTTAAAAAGCGTATACAGCAAATTAAATACATTATTGTGGTAATGGGGCGACAGAAGTATAGGTCTATTATACTTATGGCAGTTATAGGGAATGTAGGCAGCTTGCCCTGTTCCAGAACACCCTTTGATATTCATTCTATTCAGCAGCGGGGCCAGGACTTCTCAGAATTAAGTGATGGGTCATTATACTTTAAACACCATGGAGAAGCCTAGATTGGCAATTAAACAGCTCTTGCTGACACTCACTTGTGCCACCCTGTGACCCCCTTTAGATTGAGATGTTGGAGCTCCGGGCCCTCAGCCTGCTAAATTGGCGCAAGGCTCTTCTCCTGACGAGAGCGGGCTCTGAAATCTGCCGGCTTCAAAGGGAGCGAGATCATGTATAAACCATAATGTGGGTGCACCGTGGCTCACAAAAAATAAGGCAGGAAGAGATGAAATGTTACAAGTGCAAGGGGGAAAATGAGAGAATAATGACAAACCTAATGCAACTCAAAGCAGGACTGTTGCACAGGAAAGTGCATCCTACTGCTTGTGCATAAAATCAAGGCTGGATGACATCCAGTTAACAGAAACGTGTCAACAGTGAAGTCAAGCGAGAGTGAGTAAGAGAGAAGCCCCTGAGACAGCCAGAAACAAAAATTAGTTGTCCTTAACAAGTTAAGTTTCATCATTATATTCTGGCTTGGAGCCATAAAAGCAGATGGGGGTATATAATGAGCTGCTTAGAATTTTTAGGGTGTTTATTGCATCTCGTGAAATAGTTGTCTGCAGAAAGGAATTTCTTAAGCAAAGGTATGAGTATAGCCCCCCCCCCCCCCCCCCCACGCACACACACGCGGTCTCTTTCTCTGCTATACGTTTTTCGGATATATGAATGTGTGTGTAGGTATGTGAACTTGGAAGTGTTTTTCATGGCTGCAATGGAAGTTTTTCCCCACCCTAAAATGTACTCAAACTGTGGTGTCTCCCTGTGTTATTTGGTGCGTACACACACACACACAGTGTTTTTATCTTTTTCACTCCCTCTCTCCCCCTTTTTCTCTCTCTCCCTCTCATACGTCTGTACACATATTCTCATTCAGCCGGAAGGGAACATATGTATTTGAGGAATGTCAAGCCTTTAACATTCACAGTAAAAGCTCCCTGCCACTCCACCCACTGCTTCACCCAAGGGCTTCCAAGAACACATGTTCTTAACTTATGTTTCCTCAGAGGCCTTCGAGCAGTGGGAACGAACAGGGTGTGTAGCTTGAGAGCCCAAGGGCCTCCCAAGGGTTCTTTTTTTCATTTTTTTTGAGGGGACGGGGGTGGAGATTGGTTGGTTGTTTCTTTCTCTCATAAGAGTTTTTCTTTTCCTTTTTTTTTGACACCCCAAAGAACTGACATGATTCTTATTAAAAAATCGTGTCATTGTTACCAAACTTTCATACTAGCTTAAATTTGTAAGGGTAGTGGCAGGAGAGGGCCACATCAGGATGGAATTTCTAAATCAAGTGTCCACTGTGATTCTGGGCCTCCTTCAGAAATCTGCATTGTTCACTGGTATTTTCTCTATTCATCTATGCAGATTCAGTTCTTACTTTAATCTTTCATCATTTTTCAAATTAGCATTTGCTACATTATTTTGGTGAAATGGAAACTATTTTTGCCCCCAATCCACATATGGAAAGAACCCTTGTAAATAAATTCAGGATCCTCTTGAGATAACCATCACGATAAACCCTCATAGGCACCTCCAGTTCCCACCAGAATTGGCTTCCTAAGAGCAGGTCATCATTCCCTGGATGGTACGGGGACTGTTTTGGTTTGGATTTGTTAAGAAAGCAACAATTGCCTGACCTGAGTTCGCCTCACCTGGACAGCACCCCCCGTCTGCTCACTTACAGAGCCTTGCCAGCTGGGAGCCTGGAGGCTGCCATTTTGTTTTGGGGGTGGTTCTCCCTTTTGGGCCTTGTCCTGCTTCTCTCTGCAGTTGTGTATGTTCCTTTAAGAGGGGTGGTTCTCCTAACCCAGGACAAATCATGGCAACTCCAAGCTATCAGAAAACGGGAAAGCTGTTTGTCTGATCCAGTTGTCAGTTTACAGATGGACCAAGAGCATTTTGAAATTACCTCTCTGTGTCCTGGCTGATTTGCGTGGTTGGGAAATACCCATCCCGGGCTTAAACAGTATTTCAAAGAACTTTTCTAAAAAAAAAAAAACAGTATGAGCGGAGAAAACACAAACTTTACTTTTCTTTTCTTTATTTACAATTTTGATAATCATTTAGAAAGCCTTTTAATGCATAGGCAGTATGTTAAGTAAAAGTAACTTTGGAATCTTAGAATTTTAGAGCAGGGAGGACATGCAAAGCAGAATTCAGATCTTCATTTATGGGTGGGTGTGTGTAAAATACTGCTTGTTTTGCCTCTTCCTATAAGAAGATACAAACTTAAAAATGTCTGTGACTTGTGATGAGAACCAGATAGGAAATATCTGGATTTTCCCCCATCTTTCTGCTTCCCTCTCTCCCATTCCTGTCAAAACAATGGGGCACGGCAGCAAAGGAAAAATAAAAATTTTATTGCACTCCATCAACAGGATGAGGCCTAATGAGGCATGTGCTGCATTGTCAAAAATGCGTGTAGACTTCATCCGTGTTAATATTTTATTTAGCTGTCAATATACAACAGACGATTTCATCTTTTGGTCGAGAGCTGATTAGGACTTAAGAAATTGCTTTCTTAGATGCCACTAATAATACCTCAAAAAACAAGTGGACATGTGATTTCCAGCAGGTTGTCCAAGCTTACTTTTCTGCCCAAGTACATCAGTTAGATTTGTCTTTTGCTAAAGATGTTAAAAATCGTAATGTCTCATGTCAGTAGCAATAACGAAAGGGGAGATTGGCTTTAATGACATTATGAGAATCATTATGTTTAATTTATCGCTAATTAATGCTGACAGGTTTCATATGCCTTGGGTTGCTTTCATGTGAGTGTTACGTGCTGGTTTTTTTTTTTTTTTTTATTGTGTGTACACATCCCTCCCCATTCATTCATTTTGATTCTGACGATTTACACAGCTTTCTGTCTTCCAGGTTCCCTCCCCATATGGTCCCACCACATCATACTCTACACACAACTGGCATTCCCCACCCGGCCATAGTCACGCCAACAGTCAAACAGGAATCCTCCCAGAGTGATGTCGGCTCACTCCATAGCTCGTAAGTCTCGCTCTTTTGATCGCTTTCTCCTCCACTGTCGTGTTTAGCCTGTTGTTGCTGCTGCGGTGGCTACTGGGTGGGTGGCTCTGCCCAAGGTTGGCCACACTGCGTGTGACTTTGGCAAACACCAGGTTGCGTGGCTCCGGACTCTTACAAAGAGGGAGAAAATGCACAGTGCAGAGTTGCATGGATGGCACCCATCGAGGGGTAGAACAGAACTCTCTTTTGTGTACTTGGATGGACTGGGATCTGCAACCACTTCGCGGTCCCTTACCCTGTCACTGAACGCTTGGAGCTCTGTCCTGCAAGCATGAGAGACGCCAGCCAAGGTGGAAACCGCCACAATGTGCTTTCCCCTCTGGCTTGGGAAAATTGTATATTTGTGCAACTTGAGGAAGTGATTACAAAATCTCTCTCTTCCCCCACCCTCTACACCCCTTCCCCAGGCTGTTTCTGTTCCATTTTCCAGGGTAGAGAAGACCAAAAGTGGAAGCGTACTTCTCATTCAAAACTGCTGGGTTTGGGTGTTGAGGAGACAAGAAGATGGGTGCTCTGCTGAGGAGGAAGTTGGACCTTGTGATTGCTCATTGGGTTGTGTCTGTCTGTTTTGTCTCCATCCAGAAAGCATCAGGACTCCAAAAAGGAAGAAGAAAAGAAGAAGCCCCACATAAAGAAACCTCTGAACGCATTCATGTTGTATATGAAGGAAATGAGAGCAAAGGTCGTAGCCGAGTGCACGTTGAAAGAAAGCGCGGCCATCAACCAGATCCTGGGGCGAAGGGTAGGCAGCCACCTCGTGGGGAGAAGAGGGGGAAGAATGGACTAGGATGCAGTGGGTGGGGTGGCAGAATGTCCCCGTTCTCAGTGGTTCGAGAGTCCTTTCTCTTCAGCCACATTCTGACTCCCCATTGGCCTTCTTGGAGTCAGGACTAGTAACTCCACATTCCAGTGACGTTCAGAACAGCCACAGCCATCCTCTTCCCCCACCCCCAGAGAGAGAGCAAATGATACGACGACACAGATGACAAGTCGGGTTTGTCTGAGCACTCCTGTTAGGGCCAGGGTCCCTAAACCATCAGTATCTGCAGATTATACCATTTCTGATGGAAGCGTCCTTCATCCCCCGGCCTCAGTGTAGTTCATGATGTTTTTGTGTGTCCCTCTCTTCCCCTTATGTCCTCTCCAGTGGCATGCACTGTCCAGAGAAGAGCAAGCGAAATACTACGAGCTGGCCCGGAAGGAGCGACAGCTTCACATGCAGCTGTACCCTGGCTGGTCCGCACGGGATAACTATGTAGGTGGATCATTTTTCTCAGGACTAGAGTCTATAGAGGTGTCTTGGATGTCCGTCTGGACAAAGGGAACGCTACCTGCCAGCTTGAATCAGGCCTCAGAACCATTCGGTCTTCCCACTCCTGGGAGCATTAGCATCTTGCCCGAGTTCCAGACTGGAAGGTCTTGTCTTGGCCTCCAGTATGGCTCCATCAGTGTGCAGTAATTCTTCAAGGAGGAAGGAGGAGGCTGTTCTGGTGTTTCAGCTTGGAACCCATGGGGTTGATTTGGGACTGTCCACAGCTTCTTGCCCATGTCTTTGAAAAGACATGGCTCTAGGATATGCCCAATGGGGCTTATGTGCTTCTCAGTAGTGGTTCATGGGGTGATCTTGCAGGGAAGACCAGTGGGTAGGGGTGGAGGAAGAGAGTTTAATTCCTCACAGATCTTCCAACAGGGCCTTCAACCTTAAGAGAGAAAAACGAAACAATTGCCTTATGCCGTGGTACAATAGAAGTTGGAAGCCTGGTTCATTCTGAGAGGGGCATGATGGGAATATCCCTGAAAATAGCCAGTGGAAGTCATCATTTGGCAGGATGGATGAAATGAGTTGGGGCCCAGCTAGGGTAGGAGAGGGTGTGTGTACTGTGCGGTGTGTGTGTGTTCCTGGGCTCTGTGTTGGCTGCAGGATTTGCCTAATTTCCTCTCCTAGATTTTAGAAAACACAGTAGGATGTTGTTAGTAATCACAGTGGATGTGACACCCACGATTCCTCTCCTCCCACAACCTGGCTCTGCTCTGGGGACCTCTGTCCCCTCTCACTGTTACTTCTTCTGCATTTTGCCCAGTAGTTCAAGTGCTGGGCTCGCTCTCCTCTCAAGATGGATGAAATGTCTCTTATTTTGCCTGATACTTTGTTACACTGCATTGGATTTTATGAAACGAATTTAACCATCCACTCTTCCGGGGAGAAACAAAACTTGTCTTAATGTCGACAACAGGCGTCTCCTCCCGTTTCTTGTCAGTGGCACGGAGCCCTGGAATATTCTTTTACCCATCAGTGCTCCCTGCCTGAGCTCTCCCATGGACGTCATCCGTGGCAAAGAAGCTCTGTGTGTATGTGGGTTGAGATCCATTCAATTATTGCTGATTGCGAACTTTCCGTGCACCCAGTATTGTGGGGGTTGAGTTAAATGAGATGTATTTACTCTCAGAACTTACCATCCATCAGGAGGTCACAGACATCTGCGTGAATGTGTGGGTCCTGAGTGGAGACTGTTTCCTGCTTGCTCTGACTGGTTATTTCAAATTTCCTCACGTGTTATTCTCATCCCTTTCAACACGTGCTTGCTGGCCTGCTCTTGACCATGTGGATGAGGAAAAATGAGCGGAGACTGTTGGGCTTGACTCCCCTGTCTTCATCACAGCCCCCACCCATGTTCCTCTAGGGCCCGCTGCCCTGCGCTGGCAGCACTAGACTGTGTTCCTCCTGGGAGTGGAAACCAGCATTAGTGCCAGTGCCTCTCAATGGCGCCTTTGCTCTGCTCAGAGCCCTTGTCACTCACAGATGGGCACGCTCAGGGTCTTAACTTCTGGGACCTTTCCGTTTGTCCTCAGCATGTGTGCGGTAGGGAAGCCTTTCTTCTGGAGCTGAAAGGAAGAGGATGAGAAAGTTAATGCTCTCCCACAGGCTTGCAGCTCACCCCCACCTGACCTCGAGGTGGAGCTTTCCAGCAGCAGGCATGCTCTGCAGCCTCCACACGTACAGCCATCTCATTTCAGGACAGCCACTCTCCTGGTTTCGGGTCAGAAGTTCTTAGAGTTCATCTCCAGCTTCTACCTGCAACAGATCCAATTCTTTGAGTAATCTAGAATGGTACCACAGAGAGGAATTCAGCTACTCTGTAGATATCATATCCCCACTAGACATTTTGGGTCATAGTAGGGCCTTCATGTGCAGCTGTGCAGGGCGTGCACTGCACAACTCTAGGATGCGCCATTTACACTACGGTCTGTGTGCATGGTGCCCCCTGGAGTTGTGCAGGGTGAAATCTCCACAAAGGTACAAGGTTGACTTTGTGATAGCTTCAAAAGAACAGTACGATTGACTTGCCTGGCAGTCAGTTAGACAGAGTATTGCCCAAGGCTTTCTGTGAAGTGCTTTCTAGGTTTCAGAAGGTCCATGAGACTCCTGAAAGGACTTTAGCTCATTCAAAAGAATTCTGGTATAATAGGGAAACTCCTGCTAAGACTTGACAGAAGGTTTAGAGGTCGATCTGGATTTGGGACTCTAGGAGGTTTAGTTCTTGTAAAGGTGTACTGTCAAGAGTCCTGTCTTGATGGCTCATTACACCTGGGTGTGAACACACATGCACACACTCCTTCCTTCCGTGCCCCAGGAAACAGTCTGTGGAGCAAGAATCTGGTTGCAGCTTTTATGGATTTGATTGTGGCGGAAACTTGTTAGTATTTTTTTTTAACTGACTTGACGTTGGAGTTTCTGTAAATTACTTTGGGTCATTGTAAAGTCCAAAAGGTTCTTCTGGAAAACGTTTTGCTAGCTAACCTCATGCGTCTTGCACGTTGCTACCTTTCCCGCGAAGTGGTGACAGAAGCCTTTATGTTGCTACCTTAGCAAAATAGAATGGCGTAAAACAGTCACATTTAGGTTGTTGGACTTGGCACATTCTGGGGCACAAGGGAAAACGTTTTGGTCCCATAGTGACGTCTCTAACCCCTGGCATTGTCTTAGAATGTTATTTCCTTTCTAGTTCTTCTAGATGAAGTAAAGGAGATAGATCCTAGGTCATTTGCTCATCTTGAGTTTTTTCCCCTTACCCCCATATATTAGGCCTTTTCTTTCTTTTGTTACATTTAAAGAGATAACGGAGTGGCTGCTTCCCTTGAGACACATCTCCATCTTCATTAAGTAGTATTTATTAAGTTTCTCTATGCCCTCTTCTGATTAAAACACAGTCCCTGTGCTCTAGAAACCCTTAGTGTAAATGATAATTTTCTCAGTCACGAACATCTCAGTTATATATCCTAAACTGATAGCTTCCCATGGGTAGCGGAATTTTCAACTGCCTTTCAGAACATGCTGCAGGAGGGTGGAAATGGGGGACACTGTGTTCAAGGTGACTGAGAAGCCCTTGGGGGTGTGGATGCTGACACCACCTGAAGTTGAAGAGTTTCTGTGCCCAGTTGAGTTTTTACTTCAGGGTCCTAAATAAACTGAAGCGAGACCCTCCTGCCTGTTCCACGATGGCCAGATGGCACCTTGCTCCTTACACAGGAGAGGCACAAACATGAAGATGGTGCCGGGGCTCATGAGAATTGACATGAACTCTATTTTTTAAATTATACGTCAAGGAACATAAAATGTTTCAAACGGAAACACTGAACTGAAGGCCAAGACAACTTTCCTAAGTGGTACAGGTCTCAAGATCTGAGTGAAAGGAGGGGCCTTCTCTAAAACAGCTGGCTCTCGGCCCTCGGATGGAGCTAAAACTCTATGGCATCTGCATCTTGAGGTTCTCCTTACCGGGCCTTCTGGATTCTCTGGTTTTCTACCTCCCACTGTCCTTTTCTCTTCCCGAGTTGACGTCAGCATACCACGAGAACCTCTAAGCAAAGGCAGGGTTTAGATATTCTGAAACAAATGGAAGTGTAGGACCATTCCTTTAGTTTGTGACGTTTCATATATACCAGGCAGCTAACTCGCATGGATAGGAGACCGGTGCTAATGAGGGGAGGGGGAGCTCGCTTCAGATCTGGAATGAGGCAGTCGCCTCTACAGAATTCCCCTCTGTGCCCATTCCACATGCACAGCCACGAGCAGACTGTGAAGATATCAGGGAGGATCAGGTTGGGGAATGTGAATGACTCCATGCCATTCACCACCCATAATCAATTGAAAACTTTCCTCAGAGCTCCAGGCATCAAATATGTAGGCAGTGTAGCCTAGTAGGTAAGGGCTGTGGAACCGGGACTGCCTACGTTCCCATCCTGGCCCTGTCATCTGTTAGCTGTATGATCTCAGGAAAGTTATGTAACCCCTCTAGGCCTCAGTTTCCTTATCTGTAAAGTTGGAATAGTGATAATACCTGATGTATAGGATTGTGTGAGGAAAAATGAGTGAGTGCATAGCACACTTAGAATCATGCCTGGCACACCGTACGGGCTCAATAAATGTGAGCTGTTATTCCTAGGAGAATTATAATCATTATATTCGAGGAGAATGGAGAGAAGGTCCCCTCTTTTATGGATGTCCACTCAGCAGTTTCAAAAGGAGCTCAGATGAGGGGCCAGCCCCATGGCATAGTGGTTAAGTTCTGCGCGCTCCACTACAGCGGCCTGGGTTCGCGGGTTCAGATCCTGGATGCTGACCAACACCACTCATCAGCCATGCTGTGGAGGCAACCCACATACAAAATAGAGGAAGATTGGCACAGATGTTTGCTCAGGGCTAATCTTCCTCAGCAGGTGAAAAAAAAAAAAAGAGCTCAGATGATTTCTGGTTCTATTTCGCCTTTTTTTTTTTTTTGTCCTCTTCCTTTTAAAACCAAGGGCCACGCTACAGCTCTAAGAGAAGCCCCTACTAGAGCGTTCATTTTTTGATTCGGAATGAGGACCTTTTGGCCTTAATAAGGATGAGATTTGCATGGCGCAAGGCAGCTGAGTCCACACAGCCATCCCAATGTTCCTGTGCCCTGTGGCAGCAGGCTCTCGGGCCACTTCCAACCCTGTCTCTCCATACGTCCCTGAATCTTCCTCATCCAGGTCTTCCCTTTTATGGAGTCAGGTGCCCTGGGTCAGATTTAAGGATGGACATAGGTATGTGGGGAAGAGGAAATTCCTTTACCCCCCGCTGCAGATCCCTTCTTTTCTGCTGGTGCGGGTCCCTCCAGCGTCAGCACCGCTGAAGGGCCTTTGGATTCAAGCTGGGTGGGGTGGAAAACACGCAAGGAGCCAGTGTGGGTGGAGAGAGCCATGAGCTCGCTTCCTCCTGCCTTCTCCTTTCCAGGTGAGCCCAGACCTGTTTCTTGAAATAATTCCCTGTTTTTCCTCTGTTCATCCAGGGCAAGAAGAAGAAGAGGAAAAGGGACAAGCAGCCCGGAGAGACCAATGGTAAGTTAGGATGATCAGGATGGAGGCAGGCGGCTTTGATGTTAGGCTTCTATCTGGGGGGAAGCAGAAGAAATTCAAGGCCAGGCCATTGTGGGGGAACCCATCTTAGGCAGCCTTTTGTTTATGCATTTTAATTAATTGCTTCATGATTGCCCTTTTTAAGCTAGTAACATTCATTGTTGCATGAAAAGCACATTGTAATTCTAGTGGAATGTGTTTTTAAATAACTGCAGAGCCTGTAACTAGAGAGCAGTAGGCATGGCTATGGGGGATTTATCCAGTCTGCTTATTCTGTATGTGTCTGAGTAGGGATGAGGAGGGGCTAGGGGCGTAGGAGGGGTGTGTGTGTTTGATATTAACTGGGCTGTTCCTGAATGTTCCGATGCATGCCTTTACAGTGGTAAATTGCACCCAATTTAAATTAAGGAGGTTTGTCATTCTCTAGAAGAAATTAGAAATACTGCATAGGCAATCTCAGCGGTCCCTTGGAGAAGGCAGGCTTTTACCAACAACAACAACAAAACATTTTGAAGGCTTTGTATAATTTGTTCTTTTTTTTCAGAACACAGCGAATGTTTCCTAAATCCTTGCCTTTCACTTCCTCCGATTACAGGTGCTAATGTCATTTTGAGTCATTAAAATAGTTGATAAACTGTTTTTTAATTTTTCTTGCCATGATAGTTTTATTAACATTGAACACGTATGACATTTGAACAGTCTTTTAAAATGACCATCTACACAGTTTCGTATGTTTCGGTAGATTTTTTTTTTTTTTTCAGTTGCTTTGGTTGGTTTTTGAATTAATTTAATTTCTGCTTTGTTTATTTATTTATTTTTCCCATAACAGTTGTTTAAGCAGTAATGACAGTGCTTTAGAGTTGAACTAACTGTGCAAATTGAATATGCAGTATTTCTTTAAAAGAGACTGGTAAAAAAAAAAAATAATAAAAAAACACAAAATGGAAGGAATTCAGTAATAAACCTCCTTAATCTAATGGCATTTTTTCATCGCTCCCACTAAGTTTTCTCACGCAAGCATGCATCCGCAGTATGATTATTTTTTCCTTAGCTTTTTTTTTATTTTAGTTTTTTTCTTCCTTTTGCTTTTCTGCTCATAATTTGCAAATCCACTAGCATTTTACTGACTGAACCTGCTTAAAAGCTGCTATGAGCTTCTAACTCACTCTTAACAGCTCATTCACACAGCCTGTTGACCTTTTTCTGTTTCTCTCTTAATATTAATAAAAATAGATTTAAAAAGACGAACATTCCAAAAGCTGCAATATCCCAGTCCCACACCCCTTTTCTTTCTTTATTCCTTTCTGTTTTGTTTCGTTTTGTTCTGTTCTTATTTGTAGTTTTTTTTTTCTTTTTGAAACTGTGGTACTCTGAGAAGAAAAAAGCATGTTACAAACTTAATTCCCTCCTTCACTTTATTTTCTTCTTTAAGAAAAACAAATTGATAGAGAAAAAAAAAAAAAAAGAAAAGCAGAACCAAAAGAGGAAAAATGCTATTTAAAAGTTAGTTCTTCGGTATCGAACTTCCCTTTATCAGCTCAAAGCGAATCTGAGAGACAGTCCTTAAAGAAGGGATACTGCAGCTTTATTTGCAACAGCTAATTTCACAAGTTGAATAAGAATGTGATTTTTACCTTTTTTTTTAAATTAAAGAAAGTTAAAAATCGAAAGTCGATATTTTGTAATTAGTAACCAGGTCATTGATTTATTCCCTTTTTTATTTTTATTTTTTTCTTATTTGTATCTTTCTCTTCCCCCCACCCCCTCTTCTCTCTCTCTCTCTCTCTCTCTCTCTCTCTCTCTCTCTCTCCCTCTCTCCCTCTCTCTCCCTCCCTCCCTCTCTCCCACCTCCTCCTCCTCCTCTGCTCGCTTCTCTCTTGAACTCATTCAGACCTGAGCGCTCCTAAGAAATGCCGAGCGCGCTTTGGCCTTGATCAACAGAATAACTGGTGCGGCCCTTGCAGGTGTGTATAGATTTCCCAGATTCGCTGTGCTGGTTTGCAGCTGGTCTCTTTGGTCCTTTCCCCCTTCTCTGGCCTGTTGCTTTGTAGATCGGTGTGGATCTTAGGAGACACGAGGGCGCGGGACACTGCTCTGTGAGGGATGTGCTTGTTCTCGCTGCTGCTGCTAGCCAAAATGCCACTGTAAAACAGCATCCTTTGTGCCTCCTCGGGTCAGCGACAGCAAACCCCAGCACGCCCCCTCCCAGGGAACGTTGCCTGCCAACCCCTTCCTCATGACAGCCCAGGATGGGGCTCAGTGACATCCACTGTAATCCTGGCCTAGGTAGACGTAAACATCGCCTTCTCCCCTCCTCTCCTCTCTCTATTTTTATTTATTTCTCCTTGTTGTTTTTTGGTTTCTGGTTGTTGTTTTGTTTTGTGTTTTATCGTTTTATTTTATTTTTTTCTTTTGACTCATAGAAGCCCTTTCCTTTCATGTCCTTGGTGAGGGAAGACAGTCAAATAGAACCGAGGTGCTAGCGAAGACCAGTGAGCTGTAGCTGAGATTTTCACATCCAACTGAGCACGACCCACCATTGTGTTGTGTTTTTTTTTTTTGTGTTTACCTTATGCTAACAGATGCAAATACTCCAAAGAAGTGTCGGGCACTGTTCGGGCTTGACCGACAGACTTTATGGTGCAAACCGTGCAGGTATATTACCACTGCGAGGCCTTTGGGAAAATCAAAGCATTCTGTCCTTCTGGTACCTTAGTGTGTCAATATATTTTGACCTCGTTCCCATCTACTTCCCCACTGGCATCAATGACTAATGATCCTCACTCTTCAAAATTTCCTTGCTAATTTTATGCCGTGTCCTCTCCCCACTTTCTCTGTTTCTCTTTCCCCCGCTCCTATAAATAACATATCCCTGGTGGTAGCACCCAGACCACAACCCTAACAGACCAGGATGAGCACTTATCCTTCTGCTTTGAAAGCCAGCATCCTGGAACCGGCCTGGCCCTGTGCACACTTCTGTGGCATGTATGCTGAGCGTAGGGAGCCATAGGTCCAAAGGTTTGAATGAGCTAAAATTGGCAGCAATGGCATTCCCGTGCACTTTGCGTCAAGACACTTGGAGAAGTGCTCTGGGGCAGGCTTTTTTTGGTTTTGTGTTATTTTTTTTGTTTTATGTTGAAAAACCGCCTGTTGCACAGAGGAGCTTGGTTAGCTGACATTGTTTTACAGTGCTAAAAAGAAGCGTGGCATTGAACGGCATGCACCAGCGAAAGGGCTGCAAGCAATGAGTCATGCAGTCACAGACTGCAGTGCTGCTAGCCTGCAGAATGAAAAAAATATATATATTTAGCGAGAGAGAGCACTGGTTCCAAAATGAATCGGAAGAGTCCAAGTTAAACACCCATGTTCCACCTGCAGGTTTCCATCCAACCTGTAATTTCAGGGAAGGTGTAGGTACTTCCTTCCTGGTGGAGGGATACCAACTAGTTCCTGTCTCATTTCCTTTCCTTTAATGACCACCTTTGGTTAAATTTGTTGTTTCTTTGTTCTGATACAAGCAGTCTTTGAATTTGGAATATTATGATGGTAGGTATCTCAACACCCCCCACACGCTTCCCTGTTCGTAGTGCCTCCCTTGTCACGTGTCCCTCTCCTCCATGCCTCTGCCATGTGTTCCGTCTTAGACAGTAGATCAGATGTCCATCCCATTACGTGCATGCCCACGAGTCTCCTGTGTCTCTTCCCAACCCTGATGCCTCACGAGAGATTGGTGAATTGCCTCGGCGTTGACCGGACGCTTAGGGGAGAGAGGGCCTGAGAGTCTTGATGGAGAGAGATCTCCATGGATGGCCCTCCGTCCACTGAGTGAGGATTCGGGGCCTTAGGTGAACACCCCGCAGGAGAGGGATTCTCCAGTCATTCCATGAGATGGCAGGGTTCACAGAGGTGACAAATGTCCTTTCCACACGGTCCTGGGGGTCTTCTCTGTGCAACAGAAAAGAGTTTCATGATGAAATTGAAGACGGATGTTAGGTATTTAGTTATGGCTAGCCTGAAGACAGGAATTCTGCTTGCCCTCTCTAGGCAGTGAATTTGCTGCAGAATTTTATTTGTTCTGGGTGGGAAGATAACTAGCTGCAGAATCCTGTCCTGAGACGCCCTGCCATGGCAAAGGATCAGCTAATCGCAGAGCCTATTCCTAAGAGAGGGGTTCTCATGATTTGTAGAAATAGACGGCTGACAACATTGTGCGCACCTCGCAATATGGCTTGTTGCCTAGGTTGTGCATTTTATTCATTGGGGGTGAGTGGTGGTTTATGAATCCCCTTTTTGTTTCGGAAGCAGTTGCTGTGGTTTAGACTTGGCTAATTTTCCTGAAAGTTATCATTACGGACATTGATGGGGATGGACATTCCCTTCTCAGATGCAGCCTGCACCTGGCTTAAAGCCAAGGTGTGGTATCTTCCTCAGAGACCAGAACTTTCATTACATTTTTACAAACAAAACCTAAACCTTTGTAGCTGCTTCGTCAACATGATTTTCTAAGGTGCCGCTTTGAGGGGCCAGCTGTCAGTGCGGCGGCACTGCTGTCCCTCATCCTTCCTCAGCATTCTTTCCCGCCTCAGCACCGTTAGAATTTTCCTGGTGGCCACTTTTCTTCTGTTGGGGATATTTTTTCATATCCTAAAAGCTTTAGCAGGTGCATTTCTGCTCTTTTAAGGGTGTAATTCCAAAACAGGATCAGGAAGAACCCTTAGTTTCCTTTCAGAATAAATCCATAAAAAGCTAAAAATGGATTTTTAATAAGAGGGCACTCCTTGATTGGGGATGGAGCCTAAGTTGGGGAGGGTAAGTGGATGGGTTTTGTCCCTTTTTTCCTCAACTTTTCCTCTTAACATTGCCAGGATCTGGCTTGATGCTAAATCAATAGGACAAAATGTGCTTTAAAAAAAGAAAAGTTGCAAAACGAGGCATTTTCTGGCTCGTTAGAAATGTGTGTGTGTTCCCACTGCCCTTTGCTCAGGAGCATCACTCTGTCATTCATAGTCTTCATGTCTCATGTTCAAAATGCCCCCACTCATCCCCATGACATGGAAACTTCCATGTTACAAGGAGGGTGGGAGGGGTGAGGGGAGCCCAAAAACGCTCCCAGCCAATCAGGGCTCCTCGCTCGCTGTGCAGGGTTTCTAATTTTATTTGACATTTGAGGACATTTTAACAAGATTCTGTTTTGAGCCCACCAAGTTGCTTTCCCATCTTTTCATTCTGCCCTAATATAGCATGGAATGCTGCTTGATGTCATTCCCTTGTTTCCTGTTGTGTTTCCCTCTCTCTTTCTCCCTTTTCTCTCGCCTCTCTCATTTGTCCCTGTTGCTCTCTGAGTTTTGCTTATGCTTCCCCCCATCCCCACCCCTTCCTTCTCCCATTTTTAAAATGCATGGACATCTTAGTTTTTTGAGCATGTTTTGATCTGCAGGCTAAGGTGGTTTAAAACTCTAAGAGGTTTAATTATTTATCTTGGGTTTCTGGGATGGGAGCAGAACCCCCAGTCTATTTCAGTCTATCCCAGAGGAGAAAAAGAAACCTTGTCAAATTAAAGGTGAAGGGGCTGCTCTCGCTCCCCTAGAGTTCCTTCTGATGCAGAGGGGTCACAGGTAGACCCTGAGGCCACCAGCGCAATGGGTCTCAGCCTCTGGGAGGCAGGGAAGCCCAAGCATGTTCCCTCCCACCCCTCCCCTCCTCTCATCCCTCCTGCCATCTTGCTGAGTCCACACCCCAGGCACTGAGGGGCATGATCAGACAGCTCTGGGGCACAGACCGAAGAGGAACTCATTACACCTCCTTCCTTTCAAAGGCCAGTGATATCTGGCGGTGCTTGCCTTCAACCTGGCAGCAACTTAGTTGCTTTCCAGCGATGGAAAGCTGGCCGGCGCTTACACGCTTGTTTTTAGACAGAGTGTTGTCAACCACAGTTCTGACTATATTCTCCTTAGATCAGCATATACCCTGTATCTGCATTATTTTTATAGCATGAGGGGTTGATCCCAAGGATCACCTTTCCTACCAAATATTATCCCATCGGACTGAGATTAACAGAGGAGAAGCTTTGAGGTCATATGTCAATTTCTTGTATTGATTTCCCCAACCTTTGATGATAAGAGAGGCTCTGAAATTCTCATTCCTATTTCTTACACAAACAGGAAATGGAGAGGGGAGATTCTGGTTTGGTGCAGGGCAAAGTTAGTCTTTCTGGTTTAAACACTAATCATGGTAACCCAAACCGTAGAAGGTTCCATGCTGCGATTCCCTGGCACTTCTTCTTTGTCGTCACCTCCTTGTGACATGCTGCGCCCTCCATTTCCTGGCCTCGGCATATTGAGAAGGGCAGGAGGCCTCCATCCCATCCTCACCGTCTCTGCTTCCAGCCTTCTCACTGGGGTGGGGGAGGGGAAGACCCCAATCTTAAAAAAAAAAAAAAAAAATCAAGTTTGAATCATAATTTAATCCACAACCTGCAGGCCATACAACCAGTTATTCTTGTTCCTTTGGATCATTTTCTGTTTTTCTTATTCTTCCCCCTCCCCCACCTTTGTTTATCCTCTTCTACCTGTTTTTGGTGGTTTTTTGGTTTTTTTTTTATTTTTGGTTTTTGTTTTGTTTTTTACTTTATTTTATTTTTGTTTCTCCCCTCCTCTCTCCTGATTCTGACCTCTCTTGATTTGGTGTGGTTCTTAACAGACAAGCCCGGAAGCTCTCTGGGCGCCGGCAGCCTGGTGGTGGTGGTTGTGGTGGCGGTGGTGTGTTAAAACCTTTATGCCTCCTGCTAGCGCTGTCTTCAGTTCTGTGGGCTCAACAGTCAGCATTTTGAGAGTTTCATATCGATATGAGGCGCCTGGGGAAGGAGCTCTGTCTTTTTCTTTTACACGCACGCACACACACACCAGTGGAGGGTTGGGGTGGTAGTGGTGGGAATGGAGGGAGGGAGGATATGATGGGAAAGTGAGGGAATGTCTAAGCCAAAAGAGAAATAACGAGCCTTTAAGTTCATCTCAATTTGGTCGTAGCCACTTGCTGGCAAATGGATGCCAGAGTCTGCAGGTGGCATGCTTTAGTCTGCTCACTTGTATTTGGGCAGGGGTGGGGTCGTGGGTGGTTAGTGGGGGCAGGGGCAGCAGGTAGGTAGGGAGCCCTCTACTCTTAATATGTCGTTTGCCAGAGCAGGCGTAGGTGTGGGCAGTCGTTAAGTGAGCGTGGCACCCGGTAACGGTAATGTCTTCTGGCCACTGGGTGTGCCGTCTGCATGGGGCATCCATTAGGTGACTTCAGCCTGGCTCTGAGCATTAGATAACTCTCTCCCTTGGCATCTTTGCCCTTTATTCACAGATAACTCTCTCCCCCTGTTTCTAGGAGAAAAAAAAAGTGCGTTCGCTACATACAAGGTGAAGGCAGCTGCGTCAGTCCGCCCTCTTCAGATGGAAGCTTACTAGACTCGCCTCCTCCCTCCCCGCCCCTGCTAGGCTCCCCTCCCCAGGATGCCAAGTCACAGACTGAGCAGACCCAACCTCTCTCGCTCTCCCTGAAGCCCGACCCCCTGGCCCACCTGTCCATGATGCCTCCGCCACCCGCCCTCCTGCTTGCCGAGCCCGCCCACGGCAAGGCCCCCGCCCTCTGTCCCAACGGGGCCCTGGACCTGCCTCCCGCCACTCTGCAGCCGCCCATCATGTCCTCCTCGTCGATTGCACAGCCGTCAACATCTTCCTTACATTCCCACAGCTCTCTGGCTGGGACCCACCCCCAGCCCCTGTCCCTCGTAACCAAGTCTTTAGAATAGCTTTAGCTTCTGAGCCCCGCTTGGTTTGTGGAGTGTTGCGTTTGGCTTTTCTTTCTTGTCCCCTGTTCGAAAGGTTTCGTTTTGTACTCTTTTAATTTTGTGCCACGTGGCTACATTAGTTGATGTTTATCGAGTTCATTGGTCAATATTTGACCCATTCTTATTTCAATTCCTCCTTTTAAATATGTAGATGAGAGAAGAACCTCATGATTCTACCAAAATTTTTATCAACAGCTGTTTAAAGTCTTTGTAGCGTTTAAAATATATATATATATATACATAACTGTTATGTAGTTTGGATAGCTTAGTTTTAAAAGACTGATTCAAAAACAAAAAGAAAAAAAAAAAGCGATTTTGAAGCAGCCCTCCAGAAGGAGTTGGTTCTGTATTATTTGTATTAAATACGAGCTTGCGAACCAATCATTTTACATCTGGTTTTTAAACCATAATAAGGGCACGAGGAATGTAGTGCCATGACTTTCTCTGTTTTTTTTTTTCTGTGTGAAACAACTTTTATTGTGATGTTACTTGTTATTGTTTAAATGTACAGAAACAAAGGGTTAAAATGTGTTAATATACCTTGTTCCATGGTGTTGTTCTTTTGGGGGGAGGGGATGCTACTCAACAATTAATGGAATCACAACGCTGTTGGACCAGTAGTATTTATTGCTTTAGAGATTGCTTGTCGAACCTGTACGTCGTCCCTTTTAAAATATGTTTTCCTTTTTCTTGAAACTGTATAAAGTTTTTTTCCCCTTAGCATAAGCATCTTATATATAACAACTCATTTGTACAAGGTTTTTAAGTTTATATATAAAATGTATATATATTTTTTGGTTTCCCTTTTTGACTTTTTTTTTTTTTTTTTGCTGTATGAAACCCAGACGCCACCAAATGGACATTAATAGTTGCATTCAAGGATCAGTAGCATTAACAAAAGTTGCTTTAAAAGCCATTATGTAAAACAAGACTTGAAAATTAGTGAGGGAATCTTAGCGACGCTGTATGCGCGACAGTGGGAACCATCCTGTCTCCTCTTGGGACTCGCAGTCGAATGCCCTGCACCCTTGGGACATGGACTGACTGTGTGCAAAACTTTATGTGCCAAAATTCTCAATGACTTTAGCTTTCTCCCTCTTTTTGATGCTGTAATTTTTGTTCATCATGTTTTGCTGTGATGTTACATAGGTAGATTTGTATGTAGTTTTAATGTCACCTATAACAAGATGTGTTTGGTAGCAGATTGTCCAGAAAGCATTTTAAATGAAGAGGTATAAACCCTTAAGGGCCAAAATTCTGTATATTAGATTACTCTTAAAGGAAAAACCAGCTGCCGCTTTTATGTACATGTATGACATACAAGTAGGTAGCAGACTTTAAAAATAAAAAAAACCTAGGCATGTTGATGTTGCAAAATGCTGTATAAAGCTGAGACCCGTTCCTTCAGTGCCATTGTAGTTGACATGAAGCGATTGTAAAACTGTCTCCGATTTTTCTCTGGTTTATTAAAATGCTAACTATAACATTTTTTGTGAATACTTTGAATGTTTCCTAACAGTTGTGATGTTACTGTTCCGTTTTATGCTCTTATTCCAATTTCATTTTTAATGGTTTGGAAGCCATTTTTGTAATGAATAAATGTTCATGCTGTACAGTATCTGTAGCATGCCGTTCTGGATTAATAAAAGCAACTTAGTATGTGCAGACAAAGGCTGGCCACTTGTGTCTGTGATTTGGATTTTATCTCTGGGGACACTGGATCTGCCTTCACCAAGAGAAACGCATTCCCAGGCTGGAACTGGAGACCCCGTGGTTGGTGTGGCTGGGGGGAGCTTACTTGCATATGGAAAAGTGGTCCTGAACTTTTGAGGGGTTGATTTTTTTTTTTTTGTCCCTCTCATTCTTAATGCCTATTCGGCATACTTTGTGTACTTGGTTCGTTCATCTCTGAAAGCAAAGTGCAATTACAGAGCAAATGTCACTCTTCTGGCTTTAAAACAGTCATTCTGATACATTCTTGTCCCTCTCACAGTGTCAGGCAGAAAGGACTTAATTCCGGTTAATGAGACTTAGTTTACCAGGAGTGGAGTTAAGAAACCACATCGTTACCGTTTAAGGATCACTGATGTGAAAGCATCCTAACTTCTTTTTAAGAGTTGCACACAGGGAGAGATGCCAGGGTGTCAAACTGAAACCCTTTCTCTGGCAGAGAGCAATTGTTGAGCAAGAAGCTTTTTAGAAAATTGGATCAAGGTGATTTACTTAGAGGTTTGTATGGAGGAGTCTTGTCTGTGGGACCCAAGTTCTTTGGCTCTGCCCTGGCAAGGGCAAGTTCATCACCATCACCAACCAGGGGCCACAATAAAGATCTTCCTGAGGTTTCCACTGCCTGCCTCCCTCAGGCTGACTAGGATGGATAGTGTATACGTTGTTCCACTTAGCTAGGACAGCCAGCCCTTCAAAAGACGTGATTTCAATGGGCATGGAATCTGTTCATGTTGCTGCCGTTGTCAGTTAAGTTTACACTATGTTGTCATCAAGGACTTGAAAAGTCCCCGGAAGGTCTGCTTTGCTCAAGCTAGTTTTTGTTCTGTAAAATCTCAGCATTTTGTTTCTGCTTTGCTTTGTGTCCCCAGGGAGGAGTGATTCTGGTTGTCCTTCCCCATTTTATTTTGCACACTGGGCCCAGTGACCTTTGAAAACACAAATAAGAACAATATCTGTTGTTTGTGGCATTGTGCCAAGCCGTTGACGGGCATTCTCTCATTCCATCCTGACACTTCCACCTGAGGTAGGTATTATTCTCTCCTCCACCCTCGGCTTTATCTTCTAAAACTGGGTTTAGAAACTCACAGTTTGTGTCTTGTCCAAGGCCACAGAGTGTGTAGGGTGGTGGAGCTGGGATTGAAATTCAGATCTGACTCCAAACCCGTGCTCCTAACACTAAGTTATGCCTCGTTGCATAATAAGGATGGTCCTTTTCAGAACAGGGATGGGACAGTCCCTCTGAAGGTTTCCTTGTTTGCTCTGCCTCCTCCTCTGCCCCGCACACTCGCTCACTTTCCCCTCTAGCCATATGAGAGAGGGAAGCTACCTAAAAGCATTTTTGCTCTTGGGCTTTCAAAGATGCGGCCTCCCTTCGCTCAGCTCCTGCAGCCGCACTCCGGACTTCCTGCCTGGATACCCACCCCTCATCCTTCCGGTCTCAGCATAGACAAGGGTGGGTGATATACCCCTCCTGTGTGCTCTTCAGCTTCTTGTCTTTCCTGCCGTGTAAGCCCCTCACCCACCATCTTGTTAATGGATGTAGCCTAGTTAGGGCCCTCTAGGCACCCAGTGTTTCTCAAACTCAGCGCTATTGACATTTTGGGCCAGATTATTCTTTGTTGTGGGGGACTGTCCTGTGCGATGGAGGATGTTAGCATCCCTGGCCTCTACCCGCTAGATGAAAGTAGCACCCTCCCCACAACTAGTCATAATAACCAGAAATGTCTCCAGGGGCCGTCCTGGTGGCGTAGTGGTTAAGTGCTCACCCTCTGCTGTGGCGGCCTGGGGTTCAGATCCCGGGCGCACACCGAGGCACTGCTTGTCAAGCCATGCTGTGGCGGTGTCCTTTATAAAGTGGAGGAACATGGGCACGGATGTTAGCCCAGGGCCAGTCTTCCTCAGCAAAAAGAGGAGGATTGGCAACACATGTTAGCTCAGGGCTAATCTTCCTCACAAAAAAAATAATAAATTGTCTCCCGACATTGTCAAATGTCCCCTGGGGGACAAAATCACACCCAGTTGAGAACCATTGCTCCAGAGAGCCCTTCGAGAAGACAGGGTTATGGCTTTTGTGTTCATGGCTGTATTAGAGTCCTGGTTCAGAGCCTGGCACACAGAGGGTGCTCCGTGTTTGTTTGTTGAAGGAAGGAACAATGAGTTTGGCCAACTCAATGTCTGTATTTTGAGAAACAGGAGAATGGAAACTTTCCATAGTGCTTCCAAGTTTCGTGTTCTCATTCCAAGGTGTCAGTTACTTCCTTAATCCTTTCCGCTGTACTGGAATGAAACTCAGTGCCCTTGCTACAAAGGCAAAGGAAAGCCAGGTGGGAGTAGGGGCAGTCCCTCTGCCATCAGCCAGCCCAAGAGCAGAGAATCTCTTTCTAAAATTCAAAATATGGATCCCCTAGCCACATGCTTACTGCCCTATGTCGTTTGAGTGATACTTTGGGGGATGTTCTTTCCACCCTACTGTGGAGCCTCCTTTCCCCCAATCTTGTCTTCTTGACAGTCGAGGCTCCAGTCTCCAAAATGACAGGCCAACTCCTTGCCCTTCAACATTGCTCTCTACATCTGGTTGGTTTCTTCCTACCTCAAGAGTTCATTTTCAAACTGAGCATCTTCTGATTTCATCCATGAAAAACGGATCTGTGGATTTTTTGTTACTAAGAGACCCCGAGACAACATCTAGGAGCCCATAACTCTCAATCTCTGAGCCACATCATTCCTGACTTCTGATGGGACCTGGCCAAATAAGTTTGCATATTAGGAAGGTGTATTAGTTTCCTGTGGCTGCTCTAACAAATTAATACAAACTTGGTGGCTTCAAAAACAGCTCTCACAGCTTTGGAGGCTGGAAGTTTGGAATCCAGGTGTCGGCAGGGCATGCTCCCTCCAGAGGTTCTGGAACCTCATCTGTTACGTGCCTCTTCCAGCTTCTGGTGGCTGCCTGCAGTGCTGGGTGTTCCTTGTCTTGTAGCCACATCACTCAAATCTCTACCTTCATCTTCACGTCGCTGCCTCCTCTGTGTCTGTCCCGAGACTCCCTCTGCCTCTTCTCTTATAAGGATACATGGGATTGTATTTAGGGCCCACCTGGAGAAGCTACTTCTTTCTAGATCCTTAACTTAGTCACATCTTTTGCCATATAAAGTTAATACAGCTTCTAGGATTACGACATGGACATAGATTTTAGGGGGCCCTCCTTCAGCCCACTACAGCGGCATTTGCTAATTCTGGGACAACTGTAGAATATTTGCAGAACCTTCCAGAATGAGCAGTTGTTGCACTGCTGGTGGTGGTTTTGGACAAGCCTGTGTGGAAAGCGATGATTGTAGTAGGTGATTTTCCATTTCAGATAACGGAAGGTTCACTTTTTATTCTGTTGATAAGGACGTACATAGAGGGGCCTTTCATCCAGATCCAGGATTTGAAGAAAGGAAGCACCTGGGAGCAGTGGAGTGAGCCTGAGCTTGGAGAATGCTCCGTCTGACTCCCTCACTGTGTGTCCTGGGGTCATTCCTTCATCTCTCTGAGCCTCTGTTTCTTCAGCTAACAAGTGGTGACAGTAGTACTCGTTCTGACAGATTCTTGTGAGGGCTAGAATGCAGAGTGCCTAGAATAGTAAATCATAGTGTTTATTATTATCATAAAAGCAGAAGGCCAGTCATAACTCTTTTCCTTATTTCTCTTTGGGATTCTGCTAGTCCAGCT